CAGCCCCCTTTTCGGCGCACCCCTCACACGTTTCGTGGATCCAGCGGGAGCTCCACCGAAGGCCCCAGTGGCAGGGTTCGCATGGCGGCCCCGCCCCATTTCGGCACACCCCTCACACGCTTCGTGGCCCCATAGGGAGCTCCGCCGAAGGCCCCAGTGGCAGGGTTCGCATGGCGGCCCAGCCCCATTCCGGCGCATCCCTGACACGTTTCGTGGCCCCATAGGGAACTCCGCCGAAGGCCCCAGTGGCAGGGTTCGCATGGCGGCACGGCTCCAATTCGGCGCACACCTCACACGCTTCGTTGCCTCAACAGGGAGCTCCACCGCAGGCCCCAGTGGCAAGGTTCGCATGGCGGCCCCGCCCCCTTTCGGCGCACCCCTCACACGCTTCGTGGCCCCATATGGAGCTCCGCCGAAGGCCCCAGTGGCAGGGTTCGCATGGCGGCCCCGCCTCATTTCGACACACCCCTCACACGTTTCGTGGCCCCATAGGGAGCTCCACCGAAGGCCCCAGTGGCAGGGTTCGCATGGCGGCCCAGCCCCCTTTTCGGCGCACCCCTCACACGTTTCGTGGATCCAGCGGGAGCTCCACCGAAGGCCCCAGTGGCAGGGTTCGCATGGCGGCCCAGCCCCCTTTCGGCGCACCCCTCACACGTTTCGTTGATCCAGCGGGAGCTCCACCGAAGGCTCCAGTGCCAGGGTTCGCATGGCGGCCCCGCCCCCTTTCGGCGCACCCCTCACACGCTTCGTGGCCCCATAGGGAGCTCCACCCGAATGCTTGCCGCCCCTCCCCACCGCCTCCCCCCTCCGCTGCCCTCGCCGTCCCTTTCCCCTTGCCTCCCCTCTCCTCCCGTCCCCCTCCCCTCCTCTGCCTTACGCTCACCTCGCCTCTCCCCCGTTCCCCTCCCCTCCGCTGCACTCCCCAATCCCCTCCCCTCCCCCTCCCTTCCCCCTCTCCCCAGATCGGGCCTGGGACACTGAGCGCATGACAATCAGGATGATGGTGATGACGATGACGATGGCGATGACGATGACGATGATGATGCTGATGACGACGACGATGATGCTGCTGCTGATGATGATGGTGATGATGATGGTGATGCTGATGACGGTGATGATGGTGATGCTGATGATAATGCTGCTGATGCTGATGATTATGAGGATCATACTGATGATGACGAGGATGCTGATACTGATGGTGGTGAACATGATAATGCTGGTGACGTTACTGGGTATGATGCTGGTAATGGTGAGGATACTGATGCCACTGCTGATGCTGCTGATGATGGTGCTGATGCTGCTGATGATGATGCGGTTGATGATAATGATGGTGCTGGTGCTGACGATGATGACGATGTTGTTGTTGATGACGAGGATGATGATGCTGATGGTGCTGATGAAAAGGATGAGGATGATGACGAGGAAGAACAGGACGATGAAGATCATGACAAAGATGGTCGCGAGGATCAGTTCCGGGACAAGGAGGATCAGGATGAGACGCACGGGGAGGATCGTGATCGGGTCGGGAGGATCAGGAAGAATAGAACCAGCAAGACCAGGACCAAGAGGATACTTATGAGGATCAGGCCGGGGGGGGGCTCAGAAAGATCATGATCAGGAGGAGGATCGGGATACGTATAATCATGGTGAGGCGGATCAGCGGGACGATCGGCATGAGGACCCAGATGATTGTTAGTATGATGCTGATGCTGATGAAGATGCTGATGCTGTTGATGAGGAGGAGGATGATAATGAGGATGATGAGGATGATGAGGGTGATGATGACGACGATGATGCTAATGGTAATGGTGATGAGGGTCATGATGAAGAACGACACAGCGATGATGATGAGGAGGAGGGGGAGGAGGAGGATGAGGACGAGGAAGAGGACCATGGACCTTGAACTCCTGCCAACAAGGATGCAGATCAGGCGAAGGATGAGGACCAGGAGGAAGAGGATCAGGATGCGGAGGACCAGGATGACGAGGATGAGGATGAGGAGGGTGAAGACGAGGAGGGCCAGGAGGTCGGGGCCAGGACGAGGAGGATCAGTATGATGTGCATCGGAAGGATCAGGACCAGGAGGGGGAGAATCGGCAGGAGAAGCAACGGCTGGATCGGGATCAGGAGGATGATGATAAGGATCAGGTATTGGGGGGGCAGGAGGACTCCATGAGGACGAGGATCATGAGGACGATCGAGACGAGGAGGAGGATCATTGTGAGGCGGATCAGGGGGACGGTCCTAACGAGGAGGATGAGGATGAGGAAGATCAGGATGATGAGAAGACATGAGATCAGGAGGAAAAGGAGAATCCGGATGAGGATGATCAGGATGAGGGGAGATGATGATCAGAAGGAGGAGGGGGAGAAGGCGGGGGATCAGGATCACGAGGAGGAGGATCAGGATGAGGAGTCTCAGGATCAGGAGGATCAACATGATGACGATGTGGGGATCATGATAAGAACGATCAGAAGTCCACGTAGCATGGGCGGCTGAGTCGTGCCACCACTCTACTATCGATTGAATTGTTTGGCCTCTAGCTGCTGTGGTATGGAACGAAGCGCGCGAGAAGGAGTCGAGGAAACGACACCAACGCGCTCCTGGGCAACCTGGCATGCTAACAGGGCTGAATGCCTGGCTTGGTTGGTAGTGCTATACGCGCCGAATAAATGAAGTCTACACAGGAGTTCAGAACGCAGTTTATGGAAGATATGGACTCCCAATGATAATCAAACGTATAATCGAACCTACGGTAGAACAAAGATCAGGAAGATGAGGATCCGGAAGAGGAGGATCAAGATAAGAGGGACCTGGACGAAAAATATCAGAAAGAGGAAGATGAGGAGAACAAGGTATGGAGGCAGAAGAGGAGGAAGGAGGACGATGAGGAACAGGACGGTCGCACGCGGGCATGAGAATAGGTCCTGCAAACCTCCTCGTGTGCGCCGTTCTTTTCCCCTTGGTCGAAGGGCGGGGGCGAAGGAGCAGAAATCCAAGAGATGCTGGATTGCAAGTCATTTATGTGTCTCACCGACGTGGCGACATCGAAATATCGCTAATTCAAGAATTCGGGAACGAACTCTTGAATTGCGTAAAGACGCGGAACCGTATTCATTCGGTAGCTGAATGAACGGTTCTCAATGGTTGAATTTACGTGAATTGATTCGGATGACTAGTTGGGAAGCCACTCGAGATCCTCGAAGCAGGAGGGCGCTTAAAAAGCAGATTGGAATCCAGGAATCCCAAACAGGGGAACGAAACATGGCATAAACATAAAAGCTCGGAGGTCCGCGCGGATTTCTTGGATCCTCGCTGGACCACCCTCCCTGGCGCGCGGAGCGCGCCAGGGGCGGCGCAGAAGGCGCCGCTTGGGGACCCAAGCGCCGATCCGAGAAATCCGCGCGGACCTCCGAGTCCTCATCTGTTTATGTCATTGCTCGCTCCGCTAAGAACGTCCTCGCTCGCCGCTAGCAGTGGGGGACCCGCGGCACCTGCCGACAGGCCGATGCCTGACCTGATGCCCCTGCTGCACATGGTGCTCTCGCCGCAGCGCCGCGGAGGGATCCTCTGCACCTCCTCCTCATCCTCCTCCTCCGCTCCAGCCCCCCTTTCACCGGCTTTCAGCGACCGATGGGTACCGAACAGCACAGCGTTGTGCGACGCACGGCCGAAACCACTCGTGCTCCGCGTGCCGCGGCGCAGCGGCCCCGGCGCCATACCAACGTTGTGCCTTGCGGACGGCTGCGGCGTGGCGCCCCGCCTCGCGGGGCGCGGGAGCCTGGGAAAGGCTCAGGGCGACGACCGATGGGCCCATGCTCCACGACCGCTACCAGAAGTAGTAGAGGGGGGAGGGGGAGGATGAGGAGGAGGATGAGGAGGAGGAGGAGGAGGAGGAGGAGGAGGAGGAGGAGCTCCTCATCTTCCCTTCTCCCCCGTCCTACATATGGTAGTGGTGGTGGAAATTTGCCCATCAATGACGCTTGGGGATCGGGACGTGGCTGGCGTGTCGCGCCAAAACGCGGTGGGAAAAAACCGGCGGCGCGACATGCTGGACCAACAGTCCCGACCGCGCAAAGCTGTGCGCAGCGCGCGTGCCTCGCCAAGCCGCATCGGGCCTCTGGGAAATATCGCGGTCGAACAAGATCCGACTGGCCGAGATCGATATCGAATCGGATCGATCGAATGCCGTGCAACCTCGCGAAGAAGGTTTATCGCTTCAAGCCCTCCTCCTCCTCCTCCTCCTCCTTCTCCCTCCAACTCCTCCTCCTCCTCCTCCTCCTCCTCCGCCTTCCTCCTCCTCACTCCTCCTCCTCCTCCCCTCCTCTTCCTCCTCCTCTACCTCCTCCTCCTCCTCCTCCTCCTCCTCCTCCTCCTCCAACTCCTCCTCCATCCTCCTCCTTCCTACTCCTCCTCCTCTCCTCCTCCTCCTCCTCCTCCTCCTCCTCCTCCTCCTCCCCTCTCCCTCATCTCCTCCCCCTCCTCTACTCCTCCTCCTCCCTCCTCCTTCCTCCTCCTCCTCTCTCCCCTCCTCCTCCTCCTCCCTCCCCTCCTCCTCTCCTCCTCCTCCTCTCCTCCTCCTCCTCCTCCTCCTCCTCTCCTCCTCCTCTCTCTCCTCTCTCTCTCTCTCTCCTCTCCTCCTCCTCTTCTCTTCTCTCTCTCTCTCCTCCTCTCCTCCTCCTCCTCCTCCTCCTCCTCCTCCTCCTCCCTCCCTCCTCCTCCCTCCTCCTCCTCCTCCCCTCCCTCTCCTCCCTCTCCTCCCTTCCTCCCTCTCCTCCCTCCTCCTCCTCCTCCTCCTCCTCCTCCTCCTCCTCCTCCTCCTCTCCACCTCCTCCTCTCCTTCCTCCTCGCCCTTCTCCTCCCCTTCTCGTCCCTCCTCCTCCTCCTCCTCCTCCTCCTCCTCCTCCTCCTCCTCCGCCTTGATGATACGACCGCGGGTAAAGCAGGCGTGCCCAGGGCACGAGCGCATCAGCAGGAGCAGAGGCCCCCCTCGCCCCGGCCTCGCCGCCCGCGGGCGCGCCGCGCGCGGCCGCAAGCCGCCAGAGGTCCGAGGCGCCGCTGTACGGGGCCGGCGCTGACTGTTGTAGGGGAGGGGGGGAATCAGTGCTCCTCCTCCTCCTCCTCCTCCTCCTCCTCCTCCTCCTCCTTCTCCTCGTCCTCCTCCTCTCATCCCGCCTTCTCCTCCTCCTCTCCTCCTCCTCCTCCTCCTCCTCCTTCCTTCCTCCTCCTCCTCCTCCTCCTCCTCCTCTTCCCCTCTACGTCCCTCCTCCTCTCCCCCCAATCCGCATCACCCTGCTTCCTTCTCCTCTCCTTTCCTATCCTCCTCCTCCTCCTCCCTACTCCTCCTCGCCACTCCTCCTCCTGCTCCCCTCTTCTCCTCCCCCTTCCCATCTCTCTCTCCCCCCCTGAGGGGCCTAGGAGTGGGCAGGGAAGTCAATGGGCAGGCTGGGCGTGGAGGCGAAGGGGCGACGCACAAGGGTGCGGGCCATCATCATCATCATCATCATCATCATCATCATCATCATCATCATCATCATCATCATCATCATCATCATCATCATCATCATCATCATCATCATCATCATCATCATCATCATCATCATCATCATCAGCATCAGCATCAGCATCAGCATCATCATCATCATCAGCAGCAGCATCATCACCATCATCATCCTCATCATCAGTATAATCAGTTCCATCATCATCATCATCACCATCATCATCACCAACATGATAAACACAATGATAGTCACAGCAGGAATCCGCCGACCCTGTCGGCGTGTGCGAGGGGCTTCCTCGTCCGTTCCTCGCCGCCCCCCCTTCTTAGTTCCCCCTTTTTTCTTTTTGGGCCGTACTCTCCTGCCGTCATGCCGTTGTCATGCCGTTGTCGATTCGAAGGGAAGCCCCTTCCCTTTGATCCCTTCCCAGGGGGAGGGGGGGGGCCCGGGGGGGTGAGGGGGGGTCCCGGGGGGTGTGGAGGGGGGGGTCCTGGGGGGGGTGGGGGGGGGGGGGGGGTCCCGGAAGGGTGGGGGGGGGTGTGGCGGGGCAGATTCGTTTTCCTCGGGCGGCCTCGAAACCTCGAAAACACTCCAAATGAGGTCCGAATGCCCAAGATGGCCCCCGAGACGGCCCAAGAGTGCCCCGAGTCGCCCACAGATCGGCCGAAGACGCCCAAGATAGCCCCAAGACCGTCCAAGAAGCCTCCAAGACGTCCCAGGCCCCCTCCAAGAGCACCCCCAAGAAGGGCCCAAGAGGCCACACTCAATACTTTTCCATCGGAAACTTACATTTCTAGCATATACGACGTTTCGGCCTTCACGGCGTCACAGACAGCTTCGTCTTCAGGGTCGGCGGCACCGGCCGTAAGGCCTTCGCAATAGTAATGACCAGATCAGATCAGCACCCATGGGGGGCAAGCAGATGCCCCATCCAACAGAAGCCCCTAGGATCGGGTTACACCCGAGCATCAGCTCGCGATGCGTGGCCACGCACCCACGCGACTCACAACAGGGAGGCGCCCTGCTGCTGCCGCGGTGCCCCCCAGAAGACGCAGAGCGGCACTCACGTCAGCACCGCTCCACTGTGCAGAAAACCCCTTGCGTGGCTCTAAAGCCACGGCTGATCACGAATGGAATCCTGGGCTCCGAGGGACCAGGACGACGAAGAGGAGGAGGGGGGAGGAGGAGGAGGAGGAGGAGGAGGAGGAGGAGGAGGAGGAGGAGGAGGAGGAGGAGGAGGAGGAAGAGGAAGAGGAGGAGGAGGAGGAGGAGGAAGAGGAGGAGGGCATGAGTCTGGGCAGGGCCCCTCGAGGCATCCGAAATCTTCGCGCGCCTGCCGCGCTCCAACCTTGAGCTCGAGGGACGGCGGGCGTGGGGATCTCCTCCAGCCACCTGGCCCCATGGGTACAGGCTGGAGCGCCAGCTCTCTGATGTTCGTAGGGGTGGAGGAAGGAACCTGGTGCCGATGAGGGCTAAGAGGCAGCACCTGCTGTGAAGCGGGCACTGGTGCAGCACTCGTAATGATCATGATCATGATCATGATCATGATCATGATCATGATCATGATCATCATCAGCATCATCAGCATCATCATCATCATCATAATCATCATCATCAGCAGCATCAACATCATCACAACTGTCATGAATATCATCGTCACCAACGTCGGCTTCATATGTTTGAGGGTGGAGGGGGTCGACGGGATGAGCGAAGCTTTCTTGAGTAAAACCTCCTGTCAGGTTCAGCGCACTTCTGAATGCAAGCCCCTTTATTCAATCTAACCCTTATGCTCAAATGCTGGACGACTTTTGTGCAACGCCATGTGCCAACATGCATCATGGAATCAGTGGAACAAGCAAGCGCGACACACCATCTTCGCAAGCCAAAGCCTGCGCTAAAGCGAACACTGTGATACATCCGCAAAGGGCCTGAAGCTGGTAGCTCACCACCTAACTTAATGCTAAGGTTTGCAGAGAGGGCCATAGACCACCAAAACCATAGACGCAATAATGGCGAGCAAAGTTATGGGTCTTGCGATGCATCGCATCATGAAGTGCACACGGGAGGCCCATTGACCAGACGAATCTCGTTTCGTCCAACCACTGCGAACGACGCTTTTCGAAAGCTTGAAAGCGCAGACATATTTCAAGCAACGATCTTTAAACTCATCGTCGATAGCAGTCAAGAACTCTGCTGCAAGCGCGTTGAGCACCATGTCTTTAACGGAACCGCTCTCAAATACAATGAACATGTTCGTTAGGTACACGGCGCTGTCGAATGTGAGGCTGAAAAGCTCGTCAATACTCATAAGCATCAGCAGCCAAGAATTGCATCCAGCACGTTTTCTGCCTTCTCTCTGGTCGAGGGGATTCAAACAACTCGTACAACAAATGAAATTGGATGTGACTCGCGCGAAATAAAGGACAGAGATGGCGGATATCATGACTTTCCGGCTTGCCGAGGCAGTGCCTGGGCACCATCCGGTTGAATGGCTTCCGTACGCATTGGCAGCCAACAAAGCTGTCATCACAACCTGTGCGACAAGAATCGCAGCAGGCAAAATCTTGAAGAGACGCTCCAGTGGACTTGAACCATGCATCGTCATTGTCAAGCAGATCCAGGGGAACAAAAAGTGTCACAAACATAAAAACTCGGAGGTCCGCGCAGATTTCTCGGATCGGCGCTGGACCCCCCTCCCTGGCGCGCGGAGCGCGCCAGGGGCGGCGCGCCAGAGGCGCCGCCGGGGGGCCCCAGCTCTGAGTTTGTGTGTCTATGCCGCTTTTGTTCCCCGAATATCCGCCGACCCCTTGGGGATCATCGGCGTGTGAGATTCTTCCCCCTCCCCAAACCCCTCCCCCGGGAGCCTGGTCCGGTCGATTTGGAGGGGGGGGGGGCCCAAGAGGCGCCCAAGAGGCCCCCTGGAAGTCCCAAAGAGGCCACAGCTCCCCAGAGGCATCCAAACTCCCTCCCGCAGGCCCCCAAGGGTCGGCGGTGTGGCGTAAGCCTAAGAATCATTCCAAACGAGGGGTACTCCGAGATGACCTTCGCAAGACCTTCTCCGCCACCGTCATCACATCCCGGCTCCGCCACGTCGCAGGGCGGCTCTGGAGCCTGTTGCCCTGCCGGGAGGGCTCGAGCTCCTTCTCGCACGAGGAGATCGCCGGCATCCTCCGAAGGGGGCGGCATGGAGCCAACTGGCAAAGAAACGACCACGAACGACTAGTTGGCTGAGAAGACTCGAGCCACGATTTCTGCACGTGTGTGAATAAACGCCGAATCCCAAACGTACATGCACTAAGCCCAGCAAGGACCCCAACAACCTGGGCCCGGCGGATCTTTCGGCCCGACCTTCCGGGAGTTGCAGACCGGAAAATCCCACGAACGACCCCTGGGAAATCCACCATCTGATGGCGCTCGAAAAATGCTACAGATTTCAGGTCTCGAATTGAGACTTGGTTGATTCTGGATTGATTTCGTCATCTTTCACACGGTCAAATCTGACCGGCTGTCACACGGTCGAATCCGACCATCTGTCACATGGCCAGAGAGAACAATCTGCCACATGGACAGACCCACTACGTGAGAAATACTCCGACCTGACCATGTGACAGATAAGAAAATCCATCCCATGGTCCAGTCTGGCCAGTTGACAAGTGACCACCGGCCAGGCAACGGGCTGGGAAACGACCATATTAGTGCGAACATTGTTTGGCCCGCCGCAGTGTAAACAGATTGGACATCCAGGTCTCAAGGCTGTTAGGGGAAAAGTGCAATCAAGCATGAAATAAGAGAAACACATGTTAATATAAGATCTCTTCGTGAATAGGTAAATCAATGGTGAGTTTGCCTCACAAGCGCGTTTGAAACGAAGTACTTGAACAGGCCTTCAAAGGCGGACACACCAGTGAGCGGCGAACCCCTTCTCCTCGTCCTCCGTCTCCATCTCTCCACTTACCCTTCTCGTCGTCCGCGTCCTCTTCGTCCTCCTCCTCGTTCTACTTCTCCTCCTCCTCCTCCTCCGAGTCCTTCTGGTCATCTTCCACCTCCTGCTCCTCCTCATTCACATCCTCATCCTCCTGCCTCCGTCAACCTCATGACTCAAGCAACTGTCCTGGGCATCGTTTCTTGATGGGCTTGTGGGACTACGCGAAGCGTCAATGCTATGTATACGTTCACGCTGTGGCTGCTGATGTCTGTGGTCTGTTGGAACTTCGCCGAACCTGACAACGTGCAATCCAATGCTGAACACTGGCTGCACGTCTGACAAAACTTCGCACAAATAGAATATGCATCCTGGCGCTTGAAAACCGCAA